GAGACACGCTCGTGACAGCCCTGCGCGGCCCTGTGTCTTCTGGTGCGCTTGAGGCACGCGCGTGTTGTCCCTGCCTCACGCTAGTGTCGGGCGTGCGCTTCTTGACACGTTCGTCTGGTGTCGGCCCGACGCGGTAGTGTCGGGGGCGTGCGCCGGCGTCACGCTTTTGCGTTTGCCGGGCAGGCGCATGGCGGCCTCTCGACGACGTCTGTGATCCATGATTCATTCGGCACTCAAAAGTCCGCGCGCTGGTAACGCGCGCTTCTTTCCGGCCGGCTCTCTCCCCGGATGTCACCGGTCTCCGGAGTTTTGTGGTCGGCCTACCTCCCCGGCGTGGTTTGGTGGCTCCCGTCTGCAGCCGAGCGATTGGAAAAATGCAGACCTTTTTTTGTCGGGCGCGCAGAGACCCTTTGGTTGCCAGTAGCTCTTTGCCCTTATGGTCCGTAAGAGTTAATGGTTGTGCCTTTCTTTTGGCACTAGCGCCATAATTTTCCGCCTGCCTGTTCAACTCGTACAGCGGCCCAAAGTCAGGGGATGATTTTGAACGCCTTGTTTGCTTTTTCACTGTGGTGGGCGAATGGGTTGAGGTATCGACTTGAGATTTAGACCTCGCATCCCTCGGGTCGTCAGGCAACTTCCCCGCATGTGCTTTCCCGATTATTACCCCCGGAAGGGGGTGGTTAGGGGCGCTGAGGGGGTGAGGGGCGTAACCCCCACTGAGAGGGTAGCCGTTGGGGACTGCTGGTTTAGGTGATTGCGCCTCTCTTTGACGATGACCAAACATTGTCCCCACAAATTTTCAGCCCCCTGTGGACATTTTAAGGGTGAAAAAAGCGGAACGTTTGAAATAGGGGTGAAACACATAACGCTGTAGCGGGTAACAGGGGTGAGTGACGAGCTTGGGAATTTCAGGGTGTCATTCGGGGTGCTGCACCATACTTTAGGCAGAGCGACTCGTCCCTCGGCGGAACTACCCCTAGCAAGGGGTGGAAAAGTTTAGGGGAGGGGGTGGTTTTGGCTGAGGGGGTGGGGAACGGTTTTGGCGTCAAGAAGGGGACTAGAGAACACCCCTCACCAGAAATCGCGATTTTCCGAGCACTTTTAACCCCTGTGTTCCGAGAGAAAAAGTCGGATTTTTCACCCTTTGTCACTAAGGGCGCTGCTGTAGGCGAAGGGGGTGAGTGAGGGCGGAACGGTTTCGTACCGTTTCAGTGCACACTAGGGGGCATGTCTCCTCCAAAGGGCACCCTTCTAACTCAATCGGGCTAAAATTTACTGCGGTTCGAAAAAGTGGACCGCTAATTTTGACGGCCAGTGTAGCAAAATGCTCGAGCTTTGACTACGAAGAAGTGTTGTGATTTCACAGTTTCTCTGTATCAATCAAGTGTTGGGAAATCACACCTTTTTTTAACATTGGAATGGTCATTTGTTCACCTGCAAGTGTGTGAATATTTATTCGCACACCTACGAATGGTTATTCGTTCACCTGCAAGTGTGCGACATACATTGTACACCTGCAGATGTGCGACAATCGTACACTTCGATTTCCAGTGTGGAATCTTTCCGTAGATTTTCAGTGAATATGATAGAATTTTACCGTGTACAGACTATCTATAGTTTGACTGTATGTCTCAACAGAACTGCAAGGGAATTCTGTAATCTGTCCGTAGTCCAGTAGGGTTGACTACAGAACTTCCGGGTAATTAATTGACCAGACATTTTCTGTGACTTATTCCGTGGTTATTTTTGACAGAGCAAAAATGTCCAATATTGGACGCATTAATCACATCTGAAGCAAATGCATATCTGCACCTTGTAAATGATGAATTTGCATCTTTTCAGTAGACAAAAATTAAAACTGTTCATCAAGAGAACGCAAATTTGTCGTTTGCAAGTTTCAAAACTGCATCTGTCAAGATGTGCTTGAAAATACATCTTTCTTTGGAATAGTCCGTTAACAGTGTAAACTGGTTGGCTTCCTCTGATGAACGCCACATGTTGGCGTTCAAAGACGCCAAATGCCAAAAAGAGGCCAAACTTTGTCGTTCAAAGACGCCAATATTTGGCGCTCTGGGAAGAACGACGCCAATATTTGGCGTCAAAAGACGCCAACCAGTTTACAGTGAAGTGTTAACGTTGTTAACTTGTCGTGTCAATGCCATGCAGTCTTGCTAGAGTATTACCCCGCAAACGCCATCTCTTTTCACATTATGTCTAGCTGAGGTGAGCCATAACGTGTAAAAGCCGTCTCTCCAGTGTAAACTGTAGCTGATCAAACTGGTAGGGTACAAAAATACCGACAGGTACGGAAATCTGCAATCCAAATGCATTTATCATATTGCGAAAGTAGGAACGACAATCCGGCAGACAAGACGAGAGAAACGGACGTAAAGAATAATTAATCATTAATGTTGGCACTGCAGTCAATCACACAGTTTCCTGGCCATATTGGTTCTAAAAAGCCGCGCAGGAGCGCGGGAACGGCCGAAATAGGCCGAACTCATAGTCGGGAGTACCATGAGAAACTGCTCGAAACCCTAACACACATTTTCTAGTATTTGCTAAAAAATACTGAAAAATGAATCAAACATTTGGCGAGGACCTCCCGGTGACGGGACCTTCCGTATGTTTCTGAGATCGGTGACGCGTTAAGTGTGTCTGAATATACATACCTTTCAAACATGCTCGTCCGGACTCTCCCATCATCCGTCGAGCAGATACCGTGCAAATTTATAACGGTGACGTTGGTAGCACCTAAAAATAAAGATTACAATAAAATTCGTGCATGATTATGCTCAATTGGTTCATATACGAGACTATAGTTTTGCGCGGAGGGAGGCGCGCTTTACAAGTTGACAAAAATTCCTGAATATACATGCACTCGATACATGCAGAGGACCTTTTTCATTTGTTTCTTTAGCAACACACTAAATCTGAAGGGAATTTTTCGTCCCCAGAAAGTCACATTTTTTGTGCACATCATAACCAGAAGCAATCCTGAATCTTGATCGTGACAACTTTACATCCTCGCAATGGAAATTTTTTCGTTGTGTCCACGAAAAAGATGCAAATTCGCCATTTGTAACAAACCAATCTCTTGCATTTGGGTCAAGATGTGCACAAAAATGCATCTTTAATGGACAAATTAGTCCATTACAATGACCCTCACGTTTAAGAGAGTAGCACCAGCCGCACACTCTAAATCTTGAGGGACTTTTTAAAGGACAAATACGACCATTATGAGAATGGCGACCGCCACTTGCTCCCGCTAGGGTCGCTAGTAGCACTGTCACCTTAGCGCGGCGGCGGCCGGGCGGAGCGCGTGTGAGCATAAACTTTACTTGCTTTCTTGGGTATTTAACTCAAGCAAAGCATATCGACCCTAACATCGAAATAAAGGTGACAGTATAAGGATTACAACGGTATAATTCTTTTTGTTTGAATGCTCTATACTCGATCAGGGCCACGTGTAAGAAAGGGCTGTTTTCCGAGGTCACAAGAGCTTTTTTAACCCGTATTTTCTCATGCTAGGAGACGAGCTACCAGCCTACATAAAGCGAGCCGATTTTTCGCGAGACCTTAAGGCGGTAGGAGCTTTTTTTTTTATTTCACAAATCGGTAGAACGTGTCGCCCTGACACACCACCTCGAATCGTTTTGCTCTGCGACGCTTAGTTCAGGCGTCGCGACGCCTCAAAGTTCGAAATTTTGCCGATTGCGGATGTAATTTTAGGAAAAAGTACAATTCGCACAGCTTTCAAACTTTGCAGTCTATTAGTTTTACACCTGGTCTTGTGCTCCTCGCATTTACACGGTTCCAGTGTGTTTAGAAAAGCTCCTGGAACGCCTTGAAAATGGACCAAACGCGGATGAGTCTGGTCACTATACCGTTAGACAAGTGAAAGCGAAAATGCGAGGAGCACTAGATAAGACTTTGATCTTTCTGATGAAAAAAACAGCAAATTTCTAAAAACAATAGCTTAGCCAAAAATTACATCCGCGTGTGACTCGTTTTGAAGGTCTCTGCAACTTTTAGAAAGAGACAAGCTGCAGTCGTCCTCGTCACGCAGAGGGGGGAGCGGGAGGGGCGAGGGGGCTCGGTGCAGGTAGCGGCCCGGGATGGGCACGCCCGGCCCAGCCTACCCTTACAATAGGAGGGCCGCCACGATTGACAATTACAACTTTGCTCAGGGTTCAACTACTTCAAATATCGTCCGAATAGAAGTATAGTTAGCACCATTGAATCCGCGAGAAAAAAATAAGAAACCCTCTCAAAAACTAATTCCGTACGACAGTTTTTATCCCAAACCGTGTCACAAGTGACGGAGGCCAAAATTGTCGGAGAGCCACCATTTTTTGACACAAACCGCATAAAGTCCAGTAATCTCGGAGGAGCTCGAATTTTTCGGCGCGACCCATATTGTGCTGTTCGGATTGGTATGGCTACTCTCAGTCAGAGCGACCGATTTGCTACCCACTGTCAGCCGCTACGCTCCGACACCTTCGGGACGGACCCCAGCAGCGCCCAGCCCCGGTGACAGCCCGCGACCCCCGAGGCAGGCTCCTTTTATTTGTCTTTATGAGGGGGCATTAGCTCCGCCCTGACCAGCGTTCAACTATTTCAAATATCGGTTGGACGAAAATAAGCAGGCAACCATTGAATCCGCATTGAAAAATTAAGCAAACCTCTAAAAAATCAATTCTATGTGGCTATTTTTAGAGTTGGAAAAAATGCCATTTTGGGGAATTTGCGTCTCACGATGGCAAGACGGAGCTCCGCAGCTCAAGCTGAAACGAGCAGCGAGGCACCCCGGCCGGTGTTGCCGTCAACATCTGATCACGGTCGGGACAACCCCTCCCCCGCCGGCTCCCCGCGCCCCGCAGGGCCCACCTCGTAGTTCATACGCTACCCGACGCCATTCCCAGAGTAGCTGGACGCTCCAGCACATCTCCTTCTAGTGCAACAGACAGACAGACAGACACGAGGTCGTTTGCATAACCCCGGTCGAAAGCTTTTCCAAAGCAGAAGGGCGGGCTAAAAACAGACGGGTTTCGTGTGTGAAACTTACGAAGGCACGTTTCCGCCAACTTGTCGTTGAAACGTTTAATTTTGTGGTGGATGTCGTGCTCAGCCGGGAACCTCGGGCAGGGAGGGAGGTTGCAGACGTAGACATGGTGGCACCTCCTCCTAAGATGGCTCACAAGGTCTGCCATTCCTTGGGTGACCTTGCTTGTGTCAGTATTTCCCTAGATTGAAAAACATTTCATATTTAAGACAGTTGAATTAGAAAATAATTACGTACCCGCTGAATGTAAAGTAACAGTTTGTTCTTAAATAGCAACGTTTCGGTGCACATCCAGACCGTATACGAATTTGCTCGTGAAAGTGGACAAAGTGTGTAAAACATTACACAATCTGTCCAGTTTTAGGAACAAATTTGAATCCGGTCTGAATGTACAGGTAAAAATTCCTATTTAAAAAAAAGAAACCAAAGTTGTTCCTTTGCACACTAAATCTGAAGGGACCATTTGTGCCGCAGAGTGTGCACACTTCAACCAGATGCAGATTGCCAGTGACAACTTTGCATACTCGCAATGGACAAATTTTCGTTTTGACACTGATAGAGATGCAAATTCATCATTTGAAACGCACAATATTGCATTTCGTCAAGATGTGCACAAAAATACATCTTTTAATGGACACATGAGTGCTTTTAAAAGTCCCTCAAGATTTGGAGTGTACATTTACAGTGTACACTCTAAATCTTGAAGGACTTTTCAAACGACGTATATGTCGATTCTTCGATGCATTTTTAATCACATCTGAAGCAAATGCAAATCTGCACCCTGCAAATGACAATTTTGCATCTTTTCATCAGACGAAAATTCAAATTGTCCATCAAAAGGATGCACATTTGTCACTTGCAAGCTTCAAGACTACATTTGTTTTACCAATGTCGCAATGTGGCTAGCAAGCACGCGCCTGGTCCTACAAGTCAACTGTTGCTGTGCACTGTCTCCAAACATGATTATCTTACCATCGCTAAATCGTTGATGCCAACCCACACTAAGGCATTTTTGAAGGAGGCCTCCTCTTGTCTTGCCAACTTTAAAATTGTGTGGATTTGAGCACCACTCTTTGCCAAGGAGCCGGCCATGGCAAGATTTCGACGTTTTCCTGATCATAAGGAAAGAGAATAAAAAGTTGTAAGAAACACAAATCTATAAACTGTGAAAAATATCTTCAAACATATACAATTTCATACATGTTGTATGGATGCTTTACAAAATATATTGTAATATATTGAAAATTTACACTGTACACACTAAAATCTTATGAACTTTTTTTATTCATAGCTACTGAGTTCTGTCAACATGCTCGGCTTACGCATTTTTTAATACGCCAGTATGAAGAATTTTGTTCATACTGGCGTAT